CACCAGGTCCAGGACTCAAACCACAGTCAACTACATGGGAGTCCAGCGACATAGCCATTACACCAATTGCTGGTCCCTGGATTTTGATTTCTTTATTTATTTATTTTGCAGCAAAATAAACTCATACTTTAATTCTGTTTGCCACAAACTTTTTGAAGTCCCCTTGTATTATAAAGAATAGTTTATTCTTTTTTCTCTTTTTTTTTTTGAGAGAGATTTTTGCTATAGGATGCATGCACTTGCCAGAAAGACACAGAGAGACAGAAAGACAGAAAGCAAAATATTACCCCCCCAGGGGGGATGGCCAGGCCGCAATCCCTTCTCCTCCATTCTCCTCTCAGGATGCACGCGCACGTGCCCGGCATGAGTTTAAGCCTCCGGGTCCACGACTCAAACTACATGGGAGTCCAGTGACATAGCCATTATGCCAACTGTTGATCCTGAATGGTTTATTCTTCAAAAAGAGGGAAAAAAGTCATTCAGTATCTCTACTATCTTCTTTTCATTCTTTCTGTTCCATGATCTGACTGGTTCTCTGGCTTACCTCTTACTTGTGATAATATAAATAATTGCTGATTCACTTAAAAAATCCTCTCATTTTTGTTTGCTACTGAGTTTCTAGTTTACTCCTGAACTGTGTCTTTGTGGAACTGACTTAAGCTATTTTCCTTTTCCTTCTTTCCCTCAACTCCTTCCCTTTCTTCCTAACCTTCCTTCTTCCATCCCTCCCTTCTTCCCTCTCTCCTTTTCTTCTTTTTAGGTAAGGTGACTTTTTTTTCTGCTGTAGCTTTTTTTACTTTGACAGGTGGTCACACAGGAACTTAATGGTTTCATCTTAAGGCTGTGATACGGAGAAATTGGTTTAGGGTTCTTTTTTTAATAATAGAATGGATATGAAATATTTTTAAAAGTTTAATTTCTTCCATAAGAGAGAAGAAGAAGAAGAGAGAAAGAGAGAAGCACCTTGAATATGGTCTTCACAACATGATCCACCTCCCAGCCTCAACCAGGCTGGATCAGAGCTTGTGTGCATGTGCTCCTGACATGTACAGGGAGACCTCAGAATCTGAACCCAGAAACTTCCTATCTGGGTCCAACATCACAGAATATTACTGCTGAGCTACTGCTGTCAGCCCTGGATATTAAATCTTTACATGAACACTTTCTAACACAAAAAGACCTTTGGTTCCATTTTATGTAAATGACAATTTCATAATTAGTCTCTCTAGGTCATCCAATAATAAGGGCAAAGGTCATTGATTCCCAAAAACTTGCAGTAATTTCCACAGGAGCTACTAGAGTTGGTATTACAAGTAGAGTCCTGCTTTAACTAGAATAAAGGAGTATCAAGATTGCTTTTATAAGCACACCACCTCCTTAAAATGGAAAGTTGTAGTTAGCATATAAAGAGAGATATTACATTCTCAATTTACATGAAAGCTTGCCAACTTCACCCTACCCTCACCCCCAGGATACGCACATATTCATACTCATAATGTTTGATGAGAGAAGGTGGTTTTTCTGCTAAAGGAGGATTTGCTAGTTCCCAAACTTTGTCATTTGAAATTGATAATATTGCTCTATGTTGTACCTGTTTGCTCTCTAATTATATTTGAATGAAATGTAAGATACTTAATAATGTTTAATCAATTACTTAAAACATGAATTTGGAAACACTTGTATTTAAGGATTATGAGAGAGATAGACAATTACAA